CTATTACAGATTACCATTTGCAGTGCAGTTGCTTAGTTCACAGGTATCAGTATATATAATTAGTCAGGGTGAGAATCTTTTCAATTAACTGCTAGATTTAAAAAATCTTCTGGAGATTCTCAGGATCATTGCCTAGCCCATCTTCTACATATAACTGTATGTCTTGACAATGTCATACATGGATATTTAAAGTGCCATGAAAGTCCTATAATGTAAGTTAATATAAGATGAGATCCTAAGAAAATGTACAGAAGATCAAATCTTATGGAAGAAGCAATAACTATGTGTGACTAGGAAAATATTCCAGTGAATCCACATAAGATGGGTTTTTTTAAACAGGTAGCATTAGCTATTAGCACAGTTGTATCTCAGTCAATTGTTCAGAGGTAAGAGAAACATAGTTGTCTCCTGTTACAGGTGGTCACACACTGGTCCATGAACTTCAAAAGTGAATTCATCCCATGATTCTGGAAAGACAGCTGTGTTCTTATTCATGCAGGAAGAAGGGCTAGGGTTGTGTTGTCACCTGAATGGAGTTCTCAAAATTTTTCCAAATGCATCTGTTTGTGAACCAAATTGTTCACAAACGAAAGCATTCATGAACCAGGATATATCTGTGTATTACTGCCTGTACTATATGTTTTTATATTTCTTAATTATGCATGCTGTGCTTGTCTATGCATAAGTGTATGTGATTTCTTACTCAATTCCTTTTAATCAGAATGTCAAAAACTTAATTTCAATTTGTCCTTTAACCTGCACACCTCTCCTCCAAATGTTGCTTATATTCTTGGAGCAGAGCAGGTAGAGGTACAGTTGGGGGTTGGTTTTATCAGTCATATGTCAGCTAAGAGATCTAAAATCCCTCTGGTCACAATATGTTCATAGAATGAGTACACAGATGGTCAATTTATGTGTATGTTCACACCCATGTTAGCACAGCAGCTCTCTTGGAGAAAGAAGAGACTATCTTGAGTACAAGTAATAATTGAACTTCCCACAAGCGTTAGAATGCAGTGAATTGTGTCAGCCTGTCCGCTGTTTCTCATGGCTCTGATACAAAGCAACAATGATGCATCTGAGCCACCCTTGGGAACAGAGAAATCATCTCCTCTCTGTCACTCTTGACATTGGAAGCCCTGGGAGGAACCGCCTGCAGAGATGCTGAGCTGTGCTGTGCTGCTGCCCCAAACCTGGGGTCTTCTAACTCCCTGGGCCCTGTTAGCCATCCATAGAGGCTTTCTCTCTCAGAAATACCTTCCTTAGTACTGTTGAAGTATCTTTTCCTGGGTGATGAATACTTAAAGTCTACCTGTTCAAATGGAAAGAAGGGACAGGGACTAAAAATATCTGGAAATATAGGAGAGGGAAGGAAGAGCAGAGAACATAAATATACAAAAATGTTTACTTTAGCCAGCAATTCTAAAAGAAGGAAAGCAAAGCAATTTAGAAGAGAAGAATGGGGGAAAAAGTGATAAATACACCCAGGAGTACATGTTCAAATCAGGGGATAAGAGCAAAAGCTGTGTTGATGTACTAGAATGGATAGTAAACTTTATTTGTGTCCACATATAAAGACAAATTGCTGACCAGAAAGTTTAGCATTTTAAATATATATAATATTTTATACCCACCCCATAATTCTTCTGGGGGAATTTACCTAAATTATCTCCTATCATTTAGTTCTGATGATGCCCATTATATGCAAATTTATGGTCCTTGTTTTCTCATTTTGCAAATGGGAAAGTACCTCAGGAGGGAACTGTGGTACCTGAGATCAAATACTAGATTAACCCACTTCTCTATTATGGGGCCATGGAAGTAACAGCAATGCTTCAGCACACTGTAGAGTGTTGAAATTGTTTCCTCACTACCACATATAATTAAGAGCCTTTTTCCATATACTCCAACAGCCACATCATAGTTTATGGTTAAGGTGTTACAAACTATAGCTCTACAGTGTCCACACAACCCTCGCTATAAGTTTATCAACATGGCTGTAAGTATGACACACATGCTAGAGCTAGATATGGTGTTGCAGCCAATTTTTAGATACAAAATTTATATCTTATTTTGGGGAGCAGGAGAGAAGCCCAGAGAAGATTTAAATGCAACTTCCATGATCAGTTGGCTACATTTCGAGAAGAGGTAAAATCAGGCTGAAATCAACACGAGTTCAGGTTTCTCTTCTGTTGCATAATCTGATTGGCTGCTTCAAAGGCGCACACCTCACATTGTCATAACCCCTACCTCTTGATCTAAAATCACATTAAGTGATCCTAATATGCAAGGATAAACACTATCTAATAGGATTCAGCTTTCCAATGTCCGCAAGGCACAACTCACTGTGAGGCAGAGACGCAACATTCAGATGTGAATGCAAGAGGTGGCTTAACATTATCAGTTTTGGGAATTGACAATCTCTTTAGAGCTCTGTTTCATTTATATCATGCACGGTTCTATTATGATACGACTTTTATGAATACCCTTTAAAATTGTTAGCTTTAAATTTCACTCTCAGAATAATTCCAAAAGTTTTTTGTGTTGGACTATTCATATCGTAAAAGCATGATAATTTTGATATAAAGATCTGTTTGGGGAGTATCCAAATTGGTTAATCACTCACAAATATAATTATACAGAATAATGCTCTGTGTGGAACATCAAACACATAAAATTTTGTATTTCAGATCAAATTTGCTCAACAATAAAATTACTTGCTATTTCTGTTGAAAGATACAAAAGTCTAAAAGTTAAATTCAGAAAGACTTTGCTCAAAATTTGTCTTGCCCCAGGTAGGATGCTGGAAGGATTGCAGGAATCCAAACATCCCTGTGTAGGAACAAAGTGAAAGGAGGCAACTTAGACGAGAAGGAAACAGGAACAGAAAACAATCATACTCCCAGGTTGGGTCTTGTGGGTATTTAACTCTGTAAGAGATTGAAGTCCCAGAAAATATTTTCTGAGTTTCTCCAAACTCCTATCAAACTACTAGTGCTGCAGCATTCCCTTTCCCACTCCAACTCAATTTTAGAACCAATGGTAGAAATGCAGAATAAATGTTTAGCTTTGATTGTGATCTCCTTTTAATCCTCTGGTTTGCTTTCCCTTCGAGGCTGTGAGGCAGATGCCAGCTCCTCCATGTGGGTCTATGTGCTCCTGGGAAATCTTCTTCGTGGCTTAGGTGAAACTCCCATCCAGCCGCTGGGCATTGCCTACCTGGACGACTTTGCTGCTGAAGACAACGCCGCTTTCTATATTGGTAATGCCCCGCTGGTCCTCTTGGGAAGTGGGTGCCCGCACTGCTCATTCTGTCATACTAAGCCAGGTGTAGAAAGTTGTGTAAGTCCTTTACCACCTCTTTGCTGGCTGAACATAGTTCTGAAGATTGCAGTCAAGATTTGGTGAGGAAGGGAGACCTCGTAACTTAGAAAGGCCTATTATATTATGTAAAGAATGCCAGATTAGAAGAAAGGGGTGATGAGTTCAACTGCAGTGATGTAGGACCTGGTGAAAGTGTCTTTGTGGGCTTTGGATCTCACAGATTGCTTTTACTACGATAAGAATGCCATTGAAGGGCTGGTGAGATAGCTCAGTGGACTAAGTGCATGCTTTGACAAGCACAGGGACCAGGGTTCAATCCCCAGACCCACATGCTGCGCCGGCCCTGCCCCCAGGGTTCACTGGGCCAGTGATCGAGCCCAGGCATGGTGAAAGACAGGAGGACCACTACAAGTCTGAGCTGCATAATAAGACCCTGTACCAAACACATAAATGGAAAAAAAAAGAATGCCATTGAGGCATCTAGGTGTGACAACTTTTATACATTCTTCTCTGCAGTGCTAGAGACTGATTTGTATTCTACACATATTACTTACTTAAAACATCTTTTGTTTTCTGTGAGGAATAGGCAGTTGTTAATTTCTGGTTCTGGGCAACAGGTACATATGTATAAGGAAAAGTATAAACAGGATAAGAGCAAGCCCTGAAGAGATCCCGTTTCTGAAACAGGCTCCAGAGGACACACCAACAGCTCAAGTCACAAAACTCAGAATGGCAGCAGAGACAAACTTTCAAGGCCAGATGCATCTAAGCAACATTCACTGGAAACTTGCATGTGCTAGAATTAAGCTAGAAACCAGAGTTACAGTTTTACACATCAGCCTTGATTTGTTGGAGTTCTGGATGTATTGAAGGGTCTACCATTTAGGATTGGCTTTAAGAGGTCTTCACCTACATTCACTGTTCAGGCTATCCCTGGCTGTGCAATCCAGAGCTCCAGGGTATTCTGCTTCTAGCCAAGAAGTCCCAAATTACCAACAGAGCACTTGCTTTCATCAAAAATTACAGCATAAATCAAAAACTGGCAATGGAACAAAAGCTTCATCACAAGCACTGGGCAAGGACCTCAGCGATGGGATTGAAGTGGCAACCAGGAATTTCCTTTCTCTCTCGGAGCCTGTTTGCCCTCTTTGCTGTCGCCTCTGTTCTCAAGGGGCCTGGTGACTGCTGTGCACTCCTCCACTTGATTTAAACCAACCTCTGTGGAGTGTGTGTACTTCTAGTTCTGCTTGAAATGAAAGGTAGATGGAGATGTTTTGCAGCTTCCCAGAAACAGTGGCTTTTTAGGCAATCTGTTCCGCTCACCTGCTAGGGCTGCCCTGCTGGTCAGGAGCAGCCCAGGTCCTTTGCAGGGTGCTTCCTGCAATCGGCATAAATCCCCTCTGAAAATCAGTGGCACAGAATCTCAACATGAATGGATGCACTTTTTCACTCAAGTGGAAGAAGTCAATTTAAATGTCAAGATGAAGCTCATGTTTAACTGACCATAAAACATTTTGAAAGGCTACCAAATTTCGTATACTTCCAAATTTTAACAGTGGACAATCTAACGCTAGAACCTAAAATTTGCCTCCTTCTGGGAAATTAACTTCTTCAGAGTCTTGGCATTGTTTTCTAAGAGGCAGCTGATGCCTTAAAAGTGTTCATTCTTCTCCCAAAGCAGAGAAGGATTTATTTCCTGAGTCAATGCGGTTGAAAAAGGACAAATTAAACACATACAAATGAGTAGTTGAAACATCTGTAGCTACTTACTGATCTCACTCACATTTCTTGTTTAAGATTTTATTAATATATCAAAGCAAATAAATGGCAGCTTTTTCCTCCTTTTTCTTTTGGTACAGGGTGTGTGCAGACGGTTGCAATTATTGGACCAATTTTTGGCTTCCTGTTAGGTTCATTATGTGCCAAATTGTATGTGGATATTGGCTTTGTAAACCTAGGTAAGGGGGTTGTTTTTATTTATTCACTTTACTTCGGTTACTGTTGCTTTTTTAAGTGGGAGCAGTGTGGAAAATAGCAAATTACCTTTTTTCTAAAATGTGAGGGTGTTTTTAAAATGCAAAAAGTCCATGGGAAATGTATCACTATAATTACCACACACATTAATAGGTGGAATATAAAAAATAGGTGGTGACTAGAACTGAATGGTCCATGGTTTGTTATGAAGTTGTATCCTGTTTCGCTTCTGCTTTGCCAGTTCAAATGCATTTGAGCACAGTTGAGACTATCTATGGTTACTTGTTGACTTTTGCTGGTTTCAGGTGCGTCAACATTCATTACACTTACATCAATTGCTAATGTGTTTAGGGGCTTCTAGAAACTCCAAGGATTAAAAATCTCTAGCAACCAAGGCCTTTCTCATGCTTTCCTTTCTTCCCCCTACTCCCTTTACTGAACCTTTTCTTCTTTTTTTTTCTTTTTGTATTTTAGGGAAGGGGCTACAGAGTGTTCAGAGTCTCACTCTAGAACAGACTCCTAGTGATCTGCCTGTTTGTAGCCTCCCAAGTGCTGGGATTATAGGCGCGCGTGCCACCACGCCCAGTCTCAATCACAGTCTCAGAGCAGCCCCTGCACCTGCGTGCTGGCTCTTTAATCCACTGAGTTATTTGTAGGCCCTTTTCTTTTCTTTGTTAAAGCAAAAAATTATAGCAAAGACTAGATTTCCTTTTAGGAGATTGCTTGTTCAGGAAATAAGTGGGAAGGGGTTGTTTTCCCCATAGTCTAATTTTTTTTCCTTCCCTGTGAAAAGTATCCTTTAGAAATAGATAGCATTCATCCATTGTTATCTTTACAAAAGTAAGTCTAAAAAGCAGTTATCAACAATAAAATAAATAAAATAAACTACACTGTAAAGAAATCTGGTACTGCAGGTTGAAGTCATTGAGAGCTAAAATGCAAAATTCTTGCTCTTTTCAATCAAATAAACTGAAATATTCATTCATTATGTCCCTCTTAATTATTTTATACTTACCCTGTCACAAAGGCTATGCTACTCTACATGAGTGAGCCAACCGTTGAGTTCCTAGGCTTCATGCAGTTAAAATCCAGCAGATGGGACAGATATACGAGACATGGAATACAGATTGGGAACCAGTACGGAGGAGAATCATTGAGAAGCAGCTGATTTGCGGTGGTAAACGAGGGATCGCATTTTACCTAGAATAATGCAGTGTCCAACCTGCTTGCCAAAGGACGCGTGTTTGTATCCCTATGCTCTTGAGTGTGATGAATGTACAGTGACCTGTTCTATATATTCTTTCAGAGAATAAAAGAAAGAAAAAAAACCCACTTACTTTGATTCAGAAAAGCAAGTATTCACTTTGAAGTCAAATTAGGAATGTGTGCCATTTAAGTGATAAAATTGAAGTTTCATTTTCGCATACATAACTTGCTTCAGAACTAGAGGGGCTCTGAAGTATTATGAATTACCATGTAATACATAATGTTCTTCTGGTTAAATCATAGCGAGCCTTAAGTTCACCACCTGGGCAATAAGAGCTCGACAGCAGGTTTGGGCTGATCATGGCAGAGTGTAACTTGTGAAGTAAAATCTTAAAAAGATGTCCAAGCCGGGGAGATAGCTCAGTAGGATAAGCACCTGCCTGGCAAGCGCAGAGTCGTGAGTTCAATCCCTGGTACTGGGGTTAAAAAAAAAGAGGGGCCAGCCAGATAGGTCATTGAAGTGCTTGCTTAAGCAGAGCACAGTGGCTAGGTTCCATCTCCTGCGTGCGGTGCTGGCTCCGCCCCTCCGGGGCACGCTGAGACAGAGATTGAGACTGGGCATGGTGGCACGTGCCTGTAATCCCAGCAATTGGGACACTGAAAACAGGAGAATAACTACAAGTCCTATCCATGTAGCGACCTGTAGACCCTATAGCCCCTGTCCTAAACACCAAAAAAAAAAAAAAAAAAACCAGTATGCAAGCCAAATGGAAGTGACACTGATGTGGAGCAGCTGCTGTAGGGGGTGCCGAGTCACCCTAACTCTTCCCCCACACATTACCTTCCACCTCCCAGGAGTTGCACTGCAGACAAGAGGGCAGGGGGAAAGTCATGAGACGCCTGTGCAGATTTTACTTCAAGTTGAAAGAACAAAATAAAGGAAGAGCATACTTTAGAAATACCCCTTTCCCTTTAACAAGCAAAATCATAGTATTAAAAATAAATGCATGTGTATCATACATGAATTATTAGGTATTCTTAAGGAAGCGATAGAGCTAGTGGTAGGATTTTTTAAAAGTGTATTTCAACACCTTGGCTTTGATCTCTCTCTATACTTATGCTTCTTAGCTGTCCTTTCTACTTTTCAGACCATGTTACCATTACCCCAAAGGACCCTCAGTGGGTAGGCGCCTGGTGGCTTGGATATCTGATAGCAGGAATCATAAGTCTTCTTGCGGCTGTGCCTTTCTGGTGTTTACCTAAAAGCCTTCCAAGACCCCAAAGTAGACAAGACTCTAATTCTTCAGAGAAATCCAAGTTTATTATAGATGATCATATAAAATACCAAACACATGCTGGAGAAAAAGTAAAAATAATGGAAATGGCCAGAGGTAAGTCAGATTTTCCTTGCTTTTGAAGTAGTTTCAGTTTTCCTACTGGGATGCAAGGGCATTCATAAGCAATACCATTCTTTTCCTCACCTGCATTAAAAAAAATTAGAAATTTTATAGGAAGCAGAAATGCAGATCAAAAGTCTGAACTCTTATTGGAAAACTAACGAATCACATGATCAAGAAGCATCATAACCCTCCTTGCATACATCTCTGCTCTCTCCTGCCTCCTCAGTTTAGTGTCCACAATTGTTTTTACCCAGGATTGCTGGTTTATCTAATCTGGGGCACAGGAACAAAAACAGAATGAATCTCCAGGGCTTGTAGCCCTTTGATAGATGAGGGCTACCCATCTGGAAACGGTGTTTTAGTGCATGTCTTGTACTATGATCAAAAAAATGCATGTCAGCTGAGAGGGACACAAGCCAGAAGTGTCCTAATGAATTCTCCCCCTGCCCCCAGGAAGGGGGCCACCAGGAGATTTGCTCCATTCCATGTTATAGTTTCATTGGCAGAAATTCTTCACTTTGCTAACTCTTTCACTACAAGATAGGAAGGAGAAAGAATGCCAAACCTCTATTCTAATGTTCAAGTATATTCCTTAAGGTTAAAGGAGACAACACCCTCAGTTCTTTCCCAATGACCAGGAATTTGAAGAATAGAGATCTCAAACCTGAGGTCCCCAATGCCCTTACAACAGCTCTGTGCTAGGTGATGGGAGGACGCTTTTGTCTCCTGGCCCTTGACCCACACAACACTTGGAGAAATTTGTTTTTGACTTCCTGCTGTGAGATAATCTCTATTATATGCCTGCTGGAGTGAGTGCTTATGTCTGGATTTGAAACTGGACAGACTGCAGACTTCATTTGAGCCACAGGCTCATCACACAAAGGGTGTGTGTGTGAGAAACACTTCTAAGCTCTAGGACAAGGGGACTCAGCATCTACATCCTGCTGCCAGAGCTGTGTCTTTGACCTGCAATGACACTGTCTTGCATTACTCTGTATTGTCTTACAGATTTTCTCCCATCACTGAGGAATCTTTTTGGGAACCCAGTGTACTTCTTGTATTTGTGTGCAAGCACCATTCAGTTCAATTCTCTATTTGGCATGGTGACATATAAACCCAAGTACATCGAACAGCAGTACGGGCAGTCATCTTCCAAGGCCAACTTCGTTATCGGTAGGCTCACCCATCCTTCCTGCTTTCCCACAAGGCACTGCCTTTTGTGCAGCTTGTTAATGCTCGGTAATCTTCAAGTGTTGCAGTACTTACTGACCCAAAGTAGTGTAGGCCATTTCAGATGACATCAGAAAATAAATAAAAATAATGTAGCAGAATAAAATATTTAGCCTGTGGCATGACTTACTGCAAATAATCTTCAAAACCGAGTATGTGACCTAGAAAGAGCTGCTGACAGTTCTGCAGAAGTAATATCACGTAGACTCCATATGCATTTTATTAGGTGGTCAGTGCTGAGTAGCTGTGTTTCAAGTTTGGCTGAAGCCTCACAACAGTAGCGATTACACATGGGCAGTTTCTGGAATGATATAAAATGGTGAATGAGATACATTAAAAAGTAGTTACCATGACACAAAGATTGCATTTGTCCAGTTGGACCACTTTTCTGATTCCTGGTGATTGAAGACTTGTGTTTCTACCACAGTTGTAAGTTACTAATCAGAATGCTATTCAAAGGCCAAGAAAAGCATAAAGAAAAAAAGGAAGCACAGTGTACAACATAGGACTATTGCCCAGGGAGTAATAGGATACTTTAAAAACCTAGGCTAGTTTCTTTAGTTCAGGAAGATGTCATTTAATATTACTGCTGTAAGATAGAAAATATATTCTATTTCTTCAGGCATATTCCTTTATGAAGGGAGATTCCTTTGGTATAACATAATTTATTCTACATGGGAGATGTTAACAATCACTCCATGTATCTATCTCTACACGCAAAGAAACAACAAAAACAGTGACCAAAATCAAGCTGCTGAGTCTATTTGGGGACCTGTAATCATTGTCTCTGATGAGTATTTGGCAGATGTTAACCTAAAAGACCCTTTGAGGCTTTCTCTAAAAGACTAGAAGTTAAGAGACTAGATTACTGAACTTTTTCACTCTTAACACTAACTGGTTCAGTTACTGGAATCGTATTATGTTATGATTGCCCTCAAAAAATATTTTGGATTTTTCCTCAAGCTCCCATCTATGTCCTTGATGTTTTGGTTTGACAAAGACTATTTGAAGAATGAAAATTTGAAATATTCTGTTTTTATATTAGTTTTTATATTTTTATTGAGCTATCAGAACTAATAGCTTACTCTGTAGAATTAACAATTAATTAACAACTAATGCTATAATGTGTATCTATATAGTAAGCACAATGTGGAAACAATAGCAGCCTTTAGGAGCCCACAAGAATCTCCCCAGCCAGTATTTTCCCACAAAGCTAGTACTTACTCTAAACTATCATCAGAGATCAGTCTTGCCTATTTATGAGCTTCACCTATAAATCGAACAGTGAATATTCTTTTTATTTTTTTTTGTCTAGCTTACTTCAGTTGAAGAGAAATCTATGAGTTTCATCCATGCTATTGTACACAGCTGTTGCTTTGTTCTTCACTGTTTTACAACTCTCTACTACTTGGATATATTTGCATTTCTTAATTTTATTGCAGATGAACATTTTCATTGTGTGTTGCCTTTTGCTAGTATAAGTAACATTGCTGTTTCTACTTTATGCAGCATATACTGATGAGCTGATATGCCTATTTCTTTTGGTTACATCATGGAGAACAATTGTTGGGTCACAGGGACTATGTGTCTATGTACATTGTGATTTTTGCGAATTAAATATAGCTATTGGAAGTATAAAAACCTACCTATTGATCCACACCCTTGTCAGCACTTGGTATTGTCGGTCTTCTCACTATAACTTTTCTTCTGGGATGTGGGGTAGTGCGTTTGTCATTTTCTCAATGCTGGGATAAAATACCTAATACCCAAAAGTTAAAAGAGGAGGGGTTTGTTTTGTCACATGATTTCAATTCATGGCTGCCAGGCTCCAGGGAGAAGCATGTGCTAGGAGAACCTGAGCGGAGGATAGCTGTCTGTTCTATGACAGCCAGGAGGCAGAGATGAACCCAGGAGCGGGGGAGCGAGGCCGACCCTTCCAGGTCATGGCCTAGTGACCCACCCATTCCAACTATGCTGCACCTCCTGAAAGTGCACTGGGCTCTGATTAAAGTTGATTAATCCTCTGATTAGTCCATTAATCCTAATGAGTATAATGGCCCCGTGATCTTATCACCCTCCAAGAGTCCCACTTCTGAAAACCTGAGAATTTAGGGAGATACTTTAGATCTAAACCATAACACATGGTATCCTATTGTCACTAAATTTGCATTTACCTGATTGCTATTGATGTTAATCACCTTTGCATAGGTTTGTATGTCATTTCAAAGTTGTTTTTTATTATTCTATTCTATCCTACCCTATCCTATCCTGTCCCCATTTTACTTTTTGCTTATAGATCTTTTTCTTGTATTTGTTGGAGTATTATATATTTTCTTTGATACAAGCTTTTTGTTATACATAGTGTTGATAGGTTCTGGCCCTAGTATGAGTTGCTAGATTATTATGGTGCTCACCTCACATGGCTGAAGCCCTTAAAACAGCAGCTCAGCTTTCCAAGGATCACTTCCTCCTTCTCTCCCAACCCAGCCTGGGATGCAATTTCCTGTCACCTTTCCCTTGCACACAGGAGAGACTCCGATCAGCTCTTTAGATGTAATTGAAACTGCCATTTAGACTCAACCCCTATCAAAAGTTCATGAAGTCTGAGCTCTGCTTGTCTCAGGTCAGAGTATCCCCCCATCTCCGTCAGACTCTCTCTGTATATTTAGAGTCAATAAAGGCCTCTTTTACCTTTCCTATCTCTTTACTGTCCTGCCAAAAAACTTAACAGTGTATACGTATTTTCTCACAAGCTTCTCGCCTTTTCATTTTGCTTATAGTAAGCTTCTTAATTTTATTTAGGCCTCATTTATAATTTTTTCTCCTTCATTAGTGTCATTTTTTATTATGTTGAAAAATTCTTGTTAAATGCCTGGGTCATCAAACTGTTTCTCTAATATTTCCACTAACATCGGAATTCAGTATTTGATTCTTTTAGCTTTCACGTTGATTCGAAATCATTTTAAATCAGGTTTTCTGCTAAAGAGAAGGGTGACATATGGTTCAGTGAAAACAGGGGAGGCCATTGCTCTCCATTTGCAGAAATAGTGGGACATATTATTAAGTATATGTTTATTTCTCATTATTCAACAATGCTTTAAGATTTTAGGGCATTTCCATGTTTTCTCACTGGAATGATGATAAATTTTTAATTTTCAGATTGAAAAGTAAATTAAAGGAAAATTGGAATCATTCTATAGTGGAGCTTATAATAGAATATTAAATTACATGTAATCACATGTATTTGGTAGGTAACAATCAAAATGCTCTTTACCTAACAAATTACATTTAAAGAACATTATCACAGATGAAAGAAGGTGAAGGTCTGACCTGGTGACCTGCTCAATATTACAGATAACAGATCAATTATGTGTCCATCATGAGATAATCAGGAATAATTTTTTTTCAATTTCTGGATGGCTATTCAATCTGCAGTACTTTAAGTGACATTATTCACAAAATCAATGAATTAATTTTTACTCCTCAGATTTCTTTTTTTAAAAAATGTATTTAAGGCCTGGTAGATAGCTCAGTGGAATAAGCACTTGCCTGGCAAACAAAAGGACCTGAGTTCAATCCCTAGTTTTACAAAAAAAAAAAAAATGTATTTAGTAAAGGGTCTACAGGGTCTCACTACACAGATCAGACTTGTAGTGATCCTTCCTATTTTTCAGCCTCCCAAGCACTGGGATTATAGGTGTATGCCACCACACCTAATCTCTATTGCTGTCTCAGCATACCCCAGGGGCAGGGCCAGCACTGCAGGCTGGAGATTGAACCCTTGGCCCCTGTGTCCACCTAAGCAGGTACTTTAGTGTGCTGAGCTATCTGGCTGGCCCTATCTGTCAGATTTCCAAAGAAGAAAATATTAAGCTCAACCTTCATCAGATACCCTTAACATATGATAGTAGATGATAGTGACTATGTATTAACTATGTTAAAATGACAGAACTGTCTAATATCACATCAGGAACCACTGCATATGGTTTTGTTGTTGTTCTTTGCTTTTTATTTTTTGTTTTTGCACAATGGCTTAGAACGTTTCTTTGAATGCCCATGTGTTTCTTTTAGAGGTTTTCCAAAATGATGTGTTTTTCTTATTCCTCAGGGCTCATCAACATACCTGCGGTGGCCCTTGGAATATTCTCTGGGGGAATAGCCATGAAAAAATTCAGACTCAGCATGTGTGGAGCTGCAAAACTCTACCTGGGATCGTCAGTCTTTGGTTACCTCCTCTTCCTTTCCCTTTTTGCTTTGGGCTGTGAAAATTCTGATATAGCAGGACTTACTATCTCCTACCAAGGGTATGTTTCCTGGTTAATTACTTTGAGGAGATGGCTTGTTTAATCCAATTAATTATTGGTAGACTCTTAAAATAAAACTTCAATTGTTAGGGGTTGTCACTATGGAGAAAGAATTCTTTTATTATGGGATAGCTGAGCATACTTAAATGTCAGAATCTGTTATTGTCCCTAAAGTTAGTCATTCACTTTAAATTTGAATATCTTATAAAGAAATATTTAAAAAATGCTAAATTTGCATCTTACATGAGAGCATGAATTTAAGTGAAACAATATGAATGTAGAAAGACAGACCTTGAATCTTGTCTCTGCCTATTTTTTGTGAAGTGATATCTTATAGATTATTTATACTAGTCTGTTTTCACTTTCCCATTTCTAACATTGAAATAATACTTTCCTTTTATGGGTTTAAGAAAGCTTAAGTAAGGTAATGTACATGAAAGTGGTTGGTCCTTCCCTGACACACAATACAGCTCCATTCGTGGCAGTAGTTGTGTGCTTCCCCTTCGGACTCTGTAAGTGGAATGGTTTATGCTGTCTCCTTTGGTCTCCATATACGTGAGTCCTGAGAAGGTTTGGCACAGAATGGCTCTTCTGCAGCTCACTGCTTCCCTGTACAGCTAGCTCTCTTTGGCTGAGTATCTTAACAGTGGGTCAGAAAACATTATTTTTCTTTATAATTGATGCTGTCAGACCTTTGTTATCCTTAATAGGGTGGAGATGAGATTGTTTAATATCCAATCTGTCTCTTTTCAGACAAGACTGGTTCTTGTATTTCACTTGTTCCCATTAAGAATTCTTCCTATCACTCTTCGTAGCATGAGTTCCTTAAGGTAACTTTCTTCATCTCTCATCTATTTGTTTTAAACTGTTACTGAGCCTCTACCACATGCCAGGAAGACCTCCCTAATCACATCTGCCTCACTGCCTGGGACTCTCTGCCAGTCGCTCAAAAGCAAACATCCTGGACACTCTATTATGTTCTGCCTGTTCCCAAAATCTTGCTGATGGCTTGTTCTGCTGCCCCCTTTCTATTTCTCCTTTACACTCCTCCATCTCATCATTATGCTGTGAACTTCATTTCTTTCTTTGGCCTTGGTTTTCCTGCTGGTGAATGGACACAGGCTATAACTTTTTGCCAACTAATATGTTCCAGAAAATTGATGAGTGCAAAGTTCATCAATCATGTCTTCTGGAGTTAGCAAAGTCATGTTCTTTGATTCAACTGAGTATCATTCTGTCTTGGCTACAGTCAGCAGTGAAGATTAAGAATGTCAGTCATAGTGTTGCTTGATGGCACATACCTGTAACTTCCGCACTTTGTGGGCTAAGCCAGGAGGATTGTAAGTTCTAGCTCATCCTGGGCAACTCAGAGAAACCCTACCTCAAAACTAAAGATTGAGACAGTATAGGGATGTGGCTCAGAGTCTAGATTGTTAACCATTTTACAATGGAAGGGCTGTGGCTTCGAGAAAAGACCCAAGGTTCAATCTCTGGCAGAGAAACACATGGCAATTGTCCATATAAAGTTGAAAAGGCTTCCAGAAGAAGTATAAAACTTACATTAATTGTCTCTGTAATCCTCATGGTAGGTGGATGGTGATAGAGTAATGTATATTTTGGAATTACAAACTTTCTTAACTTTCATTTTTCACATGCTCCACACATCTTTGTATGGAAAGTTTTGCTACTTCATTTAAAGGAAATTGAATTTAGAAGAGTCAGTTACCTTCTCCAAAATTAACATCAAGTGCAAAGTCCTGAGTTTGATTCTTGGTACCACCAATAAATAAATAAATAAATAAATAAAAATAATATCAATCACCGACAGCTCATTGGTTTGAACACAGAGGAAAACCAAGTAGAATGTATTTCCTACATCATCCTACAGTTAAGCTTGAAGTAAACACATAAGCAGACAATAACAGAAAACTTTAATAGTTCACACAAAAGTATACTTGCACAATAAAAGAGTAAATATTTTTTAAATATAAGGATACTATATTTACTGAGTACAAGCCTCTGAAAAGTGGTCACCTTGAAAGATTTTAACCTTAATAAAACTGCACTAACACTATCATTGTTCAAATATTCTCAGACTCCTCTTTTGAAATTACTTTCCATAACTTTTAGAACATTCTCATTAAGGAAAAGATTCAACTTCCAAGAACAGCATTGCTATTTTAAGCAGCCAAAATCACTGGGAAAATTTCTCACTTTCAACATTAACTATCTGGAAAGCAAATCTTGTTTAGATGTAAACATTGTGACATTTTGCTAAAACTGTTCTTGCAGTTAAAAATTTAAATCAGAACTCTGCTGTGTATAATTAATTTCTGCCCTACACAGCAAATTAAACTTACTTGGGGTGATACGCAATAAAATGCTTTATAACATATAAAGTATTTTCCATGGATGGTCCCATGTTGCTTTGTCCCTGAGGATTGTTTTGATTAGACCCTTGAGAAGAGCTTTGTAGACAAGCTTTAGACCTGGTACGATGACAATAATCTGACGCGAGATAAGAACATATCCTAAGCCATGAGAAGGTTCTGTGTTCAGGTTGGTCACTAGGGGATTGTACAAATTTGAGAAAGTTACCTGGCCACACTGGACCTGACTGTCCCTATCTGCCACCTGAGTGGGTAGCCTGCATCATTTCAAATTTCCTTGATCCCCAAACTCCCCTGATCTCGGCCATACCCTGTTCATTGTGGCCTGATTCTAGGATTTCAAAAACTCATCATTGTAGTTTTAGCAGATCCTGCCAAACAGTCATAGCTAACAGTTACTAATTTGTGGAAGAGAATACAGTTAATACTCCTGTAGGATTTCCATTTCACTCTGTTTGGAGGGATTTGGAGGTAACTGAGAACTTAACAGTTCTGTTAAATGGAAGATGACATCCAATGAAATATTAGGACTGAAAAGAGTACATGAAATATCTCTGAGGTGAAAGCCAAAAGGACTGGCCCTTTTTTTGCAAAATAAAGTATCATTTTTTTTTGATAATTGACTTCTCAGAAACCTTGTTTCATAGTCTATGTGTGCCAGCAATTATTCTTGGTGCTGTAGATACAGTGAACAAAACATAAAGCCCATGCTCTCTGGCATGTGTGTTCAAGTGTATTACTTGCTTGTTTAAAGCCCCTTAAATATCTTTGTAACAATTATGAAAGTGGAAGGGAAAAAAATACATTTGATGGGACTGGGGAGATAGCTTCGTGGTCTAAGTGCCAGCTAGCAAGCACAAGTACCAGGGTTCAATTCCTAGTACTACATCCTGTGTGGGCCCTAGAACCCTGGACAGGCCATGCCAGCCACCAAAATGAGGCATGGTGGCACATGCCTGTAATCCCAGCACAGGGGAGGCTGAGACAGGAGGATCATTCTGAGTCTTAGCTTCGTAGAAAGACCCTGCACCAAATTAATTAATTAATTAATTAATTAAAAAAAGATAATACATTTGAAATAGGAGTGGAGCAAGTGAATTATGAATTGCTCATGGTGGAACGTTGGAAGCAAATAGGAGGGATGTGCCTTAGAGAAGAATAGATGGACCCAAAGAGTGCCAAAGGAAAGAGGAGAGGGATCAGGCCATCCAGAGGAAGAAGTGAGGGTAAAGTATCTCCATTAGAGAAACAGGCCCACCATGAAAGACCAAGAGAGAACAAAAGAGGAGGAGAGGAAAGAGAAAGCAATGTTATGTAGGATAACTAAAGTTAAGTCCATACCTTGAGGGAAACTATTATTGCATTCCTATTTATAATCAACTTTTATCTGCCTGTAGGTAACACTTAGGTTTCTAATAAAATCTTATGAATTAATAAATCATTCAAATAATGTGAAATATAACCAAGCCTGATATAGGACACAGAAGCGCTCCATACAGTGGGAGGATATACAGAGGAAAGAACGGATAACCTAAAAATGTGTTATTGAAAAAAATGTACAATTAGGGTATACAGTTCCTACAAATGTTGAAGGGATACTTAATGTTAACTCTTCAGTTCTATTTTTTTCATTACATCATTAGCAATATCCAGTCTTCTGATATAAAGTTATAGAAATTCCTAAATACACATGCATAAACACATATCACCTACAATTTATTGAAATAACATCATACATTTCTCTAAATGCCTGCATTTCTATCTTGTAGCTGTGTCCATAGATCATGTTCCTAGCTTCTTGAAGTAGCAGACTCTAGCAAAGTCACAGGCTAAGCAAAGAACACTATATAAAGATAATTTTCAAGGTAAATCTTTTCACTACTCATTTCACATATAATGACTAGACTTGGCATTTCTGATCATAGCCGTTTTCAGCAGGCAAATGTGTTGGCAGTACACTTTATATCACTCAGAAATATGTTTGAAAGTACAAGGGTGTTCCCTGCTAAGAGGTAATACTGTATATTGTTACATTTTTTTTGTTTTTGCAGAAACAAACCTGTGTCTTATCATGAACGAGCTCTCTTTTCAGATTGTAACTCAAGATGCAAATGTTCAGAGACAGAGTGGGAACCGATGTGTGGTGAAAATGGAATTACATACGCATCAGCTTGCTTTGCTGGTTGTCAAACCTCCAACATGAGTGGAAAGAACATTGTAAGAAAACACATTTCTCAAAGTATTTGCCCACAAATCTCTTACCACCTAGAACTATATGGTTTCTAAGATGTGCTCAGCAGTAGACCAGGCTGGCAGGAGTCCTGGCTCTTGTCCTTTTATGTGGAATCAGGGACTTTAAAGCCATTTCTACGTGACCTAAAGTTGAAAGAGCCAGAGTAAGAATTAGTTGTGAAGCAGGGTAGAGCAGCCTTTGAAATTATGTAGATATTTGGTTGCTTTGCTGATAAGGTGTAGTATCCCAGATAAGGAAGTGGTTCTTGGATGTTTAGGAGCAAGACAAACAGAAGACAACCAAAAGCCAGTATTAGGACGTCTAGACCACACAGGTAGATCCAGGAGTCAGGAATCTGCTTATGTAGTGAAGCCAAAGGTTTGGGAACAGCCCTACTAGAGAAGGGAAGCCAGGGCTGGGGAGATAGTTCAGTAGAATAAGCACTTGCCTGGCTAGTGCCAGGGCCTGACTGACTTCAATCCCTGGTTCCGAAAAAAAAGGAAGCCAATCTGTGTTATGGTTAAAAGTAGGTTAACTAGACTGGAGGTTTCTATAGGCTAGAAGTAGGTATTTAGAGATCTAAGTAGAAAATCATTTCCATCAATCTGGGCTGCTGTAACAAGTATGTTGAGGACTGAGTAGGTTAAACAGAAAACATTTAGCTCTCACAGTTCTTGAGGCAGGGAATTCCACAATTAAGCGGCCAGGTGAGAGTCAGCAGAATTTTGCTTCTTCTGTGTAGACAGCTCTCTGCTCTCTGTTTTTCCACAGAAGGCAGTAGGAAGGGAGAACAGATCTTTGCTGACTAGGGGATACAATAAAGTGCCCCTCATGAGGACTTCAGGTTCCCAACCTAACTTCCTCCCAAAGGTCTCACCTCTAACTACCATCACATTGGGGCTTAGTATTTCAGGATATAAATACAGGACACTCACTTGATAGAAAGCAATAGTGCATGGTAAGATGAACTTTGGGCATTAACAAGTGCCCTTTGGATCACACCTTTGCATTATTGGCTGAAGCACAGAGCCTATTTTGCACACATTGTGTCAGGTTGCATTCTGCTTGTGACTGATGGAATTGGGCTTTATTTGACGGTACAAGAGGGCTAAAAATTAGAACATACTGCATTTGCATATGGTTATCAACAAGGTACACAGAGCTTTGGGCAATCCATGTACAGATACAATGTAATATTTGCTGATTTTCCTCTTTGTTTTATTATTTTGGCATTTTATTCAAAGTGGAAAAGATCAGTTTCTAGTGGGAGAAACACAATCCACCAATTTGATATGCTTTCTACATTCTTTGTTTTCCTTCTCTCTTCTCTTCTCTTCTCTTCTCTTCTCTTCTCTTCTCTTCTCTTCTCTTCTCTTCTCTTCTCTTCTCTCTCTTCTCTTCTCTTCTCTTCCTTCCTTCTTCTCCCCTCCCCCTCCCCTCCCCTCCCTTCCCCCTCCTCTTTCCTTCCCTTTATTTTCTTTTCTA